GAATTTTCAATTCGTCCAGTTTAAATATACTTATTATTCGAACCACCGTGGCGCCGCCACTTTCTCACCGGAGGAATTTCAATCGTCGTGTTAGTTACGTGACCGATAATAATTGTGCACCGTTTATATCGAGGTTAGTGATCCATGGTCGTGCGAGAATCGATTCGCCACGCCACGCGCAAAGTCAATCGTTGGTAATCGCGGTCAAGGGGGATTGGGAAACGGTTTAAACGATAAAGCGTTTCGCCCGCAAAGGGCTGGCACACTCGAAATTTTTTCCAAAAGATTCAACGTAATTTTCAAGCTTCTGCTCCAGAGAAAATTTTAATCGAAGCGTAAAGAGCCAGGGTAACTTTTCCTCCTCGAGAAGCATGAAGAGGAATTTCGTTATTGCGCCGAGGGACGGAGATAGAGAAAGAGAGAGAGAGAGAGAGAGAAATGCAAGGTCTTTCGCGGTGTTTTATTCATTCTCCTCCGTCCTGTCCGCAAGCTATTTCGCTTCTCTGTGTGTAATCGATTCTTATACGTGACGAATCGCGTTCCACTTTCTTTCTTATGCACTCTATACTACTTTATTCTCGATGAATCTGACAATTGATCGGTTACCTGGCGAATTGAGGCCGGCACGCAGGCCTTTGTCGTTTGAGGCGAGATGAAAAAGTGTCGAGTACGGTTTGGAAAAGGAGGCGAGCAATTTGCCAGAGTCCACGATCGAGTACCGTTTTCCAGTGTGGCGCTGCTGTCTCAAGATCCTCGAACACCACGTTTCGTTAAAAACTTTGTCTTCTTCGATTCTTCGGGCGCAATTGTTCCAAAGATAGTAGGATAAAATGGTGAGACGCAAGAGGGCTCGAGAAGAGAAAATTTATTAAGAGTCGCTTATTACGATTGGTAAACGATTGGATGGCAAAAAAACAGCACAGTAATCTTTCACATTTTGCACACAAGTGGTGGGGATTATTCGGCTCGAAAGATGAACGAAAAGATAACTCGTTTATTCTCGTTTACTATCCCTCGTATTAATCCGTTTACATCCGATTATGTGATCTCTCGAGCGGTTATATCATCGTTTTATACCGATGTGATAAAATTACGCAACTGTTGATGCGATCACGTGTCGCATTTTCGTTCGAGAATTATTATTTTCGTGATATATATATATACACCAATATCGTGGCTTGATTAACTATAATATTAATATCCATACTCGATCTCGAGAAGTTCAACGAGTAAACCCCTCAAGCGGTAACACAGGTATTGCTTACATCCGCCGCAGGAAGTTATTCCTTGAGACGACCCTCATCGAATATTATCCTCCTCCATCCCTGTTTACTTGTATATTTAACTACCAATCGTATACTCGTAATATTAGGTTACACGAAGTTACCAATTTTTAAAATTCCACTTCATCTATATTTTGTTTAACATATTTTCACTCGTTGCGTAACTATTCTTTTTTGTATTAAAATTTAACTTTAAAAGTTTTTTGAGAAGCGAACGAATTATTCCTAGTTTACGAGTTTAAACTGATATCGAAATGTCAGATGTTGGCTTTCGGAGAGAAGATTCTGTCGATGAGAGGATCGTTCAGTGGTGGTTTCAAAAATCTTGAAAACGAGCGTATCTCGAATCGCAATTTTCAAACATTTGTGATGAAACATGGTAAAGGATTATAAAATATGATTTGGATTTCGATATTCAACGATATTCCGTAATCAATTAGGATTACGATAACTAATCTCTAGGCAGTCAAATTCTTAAAAGATATATCGCTATATATCACTCAGCACATTTTCACGTTGTTTTCACTCTTATACGTTTCTTTTTGTATTGATTTAATCGTTTCTTTGAGAAGCGAACGAATTTAGACTATTATTCCTGTACGAATTTAAGCCGAAGCTGAAGCGTGCAAATCCATTTTCGAATAGAATTATAACTTGTGACGAGACGTGGACGCTGTACGACGATCCTGCGCGATCTGGATGACGGTTGGATGCCTGAAAAAGTTACGGTGGAGATATGGCAACATCTTACTGTCAAGAAATTGAGACAAATTGTACTCACCGGATATTTTACCGACCGATCATCGCTTGTTTCGCTATTTACACTTGTTTTCGAAAAAATAAAAATATTATATTACGCTCGAGAAGCTGTAATTCGAAAAAGAATATCTTTACATTAAAATTATAAAGTTTTATAAAAATGGAATAATTGGGAAAAGCCAATAGCTCGTATTTCGAGAATAAAGATTATTCTTCCGACCGAGAATAAGAGGCAATTTCACGACCTAACCTAACAATATATCGCGAATAGACTTAACGTAATCGAAAGAATCTTATCTTGCAATAGAAGTGGTAGTTGATCCGTGGAATGGTTTATCTGTTTACGTAACCTCTTTTTTCTCAGATAAACAATACAAATATATATATATATATCTTACGCGAATACCATACATTTTGAATAAACGCGATTCGAAAATAAATCGAAATTCGAAGTAAAATCGTTCACTATCGTGTCGCGATAGATGATAGGGCTTCCTTCTCGTCGCGAACAACAACGTTCATACGGATTCGCGCGTTGAATGGGCGCGTTTGCACACGCGAGAGAAGCCGTGCGTGGGCGGAAGCTGAATTATTCGAACATTTTTTTTTACGCCATTTTACGAAAGTGGATGTCGGAACGCAAACGTTTGAAAATGAATTTTCAAACGGGGGATAAACCCATTCTTCCTCGATCGAGATTCCCGTCTGACTCGACAGAAGTTTCGGGGCGAGGCATTCGCGAGATTAGCTCCACCGCTTCGTATTCTTCGGCCACGGATAATGGAGAGGATTGTTCGATGGTGGATCGCGAGAGATTGCGGAGAAGGATTTTAACGATCGGTGGGAATAAGTTGAGAAGGGTAAAAGCAATCTGGTAATAGGGTAGTACTTTTCACGTACGAGTGCAATTGTTCCGTACCAGAAGTTGTTCCTTCTCCTCGTCCTTGGTTAAATTCTCTTTTTGCCAGTATCGCACTTTTTTTTTTTTTACTTAGCAACAATAAATCCTTAATTGTGGCGAAATATAACAAATTCAGTCCTTATTTAAAGTTGAAATTAGATAGATCAAACATTTTAAATCTCGTTTTAAAAATCACAATGTATAATAATGCCGAGTCTAGCTCGACATGTAAGTTAAGCATTCGCTTCGTATTAACACACTTTCGATAATTTTCATTAGCAAGATTTGCGAATATTTCATAATGCATACATCGTTCTGTATTAACGAGTCAAGCATTTAAGTATCGTGAATGAACGCGTAATAACGACACGCTAGAGATTACTACGTGGCCGTCACTAATGGCCCGTACACGCTTTATCTACGGATAGAAATTGCAGTACAAGCTTTTAATGCAATTTCCACTCTTATCGCAATGATAAAATATTCCAAATATTACGCCAAGTGCGATAAATGTTCATCATCGAACACGATATATCCGCGATACACGAATACCGATTCATTCGCCTACTAAGTGCTTCACACCTTCTCTTTATCGCGTTGAAAAAGCGTAAATAAAAAAAAAATATAGAAAAAACAAGCTCGTACGTGCCACGAAAGTAGAAAAAGGAAAAAATTTATTCGCCGATAATCGTCGCGTATTATATATCTATACACATTCGTAGGTATCTCGATTCGAAACTTCCTCGCGATGGAAAAAAAGTTATATTACTTTCACGTTCTATATACCGTAATAAAAAGATATAGAAAAAACAAGCTCGCAGCGTACGTGCTACGAAAATAAGAAAAAAAATTTACTTGCCGATAATCGTCGCGTATTGTTGTATATATATATATATATATATATTCGTACGTATCTCGAAACTTTCTCGCGATGGAAAAAAAAGTTATATTACTTTCGCGTTCCATATACCATAAGTACAAAAACTTTTCAAGAAAAATAAAAGAAAAGAAGATTTCGCTTATCTTCGTCGATAATTCTTCCAGAATTTCGTCTCTTTTCGAACCGACTTGGCGGATTAAATTCAAGCGGTAAGAAAACGCACAAAGAGAGAAAGAAAGAAAGATCTCGGTTCGAAGGAACGCGATAGGCAGGTGTCACGCCATCGCGGGCGGGCTGCCCCCCGTGGCGATGATCAGGACGATTAAAGGGGGCGGTGGATCGAGGGGGATGGTGGCCGAGTTGACATTGCATCACGAAGTACTAACCGCATTATTTATGCCACCTCGTAAAACTTGTCGCGTGCCCGAACTCGTGCTGCTCGCCTATCCCTTTTGTCGCCAACGCGAAGGGAGACCACCACGAGGATTAAACGAGGCTTAAACGTTCACGCTCCAACCCGCCCTCTTTTTGTCCACAAAATTTCGCAACGATTTCTTCGATCGTGACGGAAGATTTTTTTTTTTATTTGTCCATCCAATCTCTTTATAACGACCGAATATACGTAGAAATTTGCATTGGGAATATTTAAATAAACCGGGCAATAACGGAATTGTTCCCTTCGATTTTCGAGCGTGGAATTAAGAGGCACGCGACGAACGAAGATAAAGTAAGAATGGATCCAGTGTGAAATATCGCATGCGTGTAACGATATGCACAAGCCGAAAGGGGTTCTCTCTGTCACCGCGTATATATATATATATTATCTCGAGATATTTTTATTACGCACGCGCGTGTTTGATTAATGCCATCGTACCGAGGCGATAGTTATTGCTGAGTGAAAACCGATAAGGCTTTATTTTATTACAATTAAATATTACGAAGTATCACGAAAATTTCGTGAAAGAATTCGGAATATAGTTTTTTACCCTAATTTTGAACATTTCCTTCGAACATTCTCTCCTTCTCTCCACTTCAATCCTCTCACTTTCCCCTCCCCCCTTTTCCTCTTTATTTATCTCCAACCACAGCACAGAAGCGAGAGAAGCAACTGGAAAACATTTCCTTTCGTTTTCGGAGAAAAGATCCGTCTCTCCACCCGGTCCGTCTGTGTTCGCAGTTGCCGTACTCGATGGAGTTGGATTACGACGTGGTAGGTGTTCCAGGGGGTGTCGGCCCCGGGATGATGGCGCTACTGCCGCCCAGGGTGAACGTCTCCGCCAGGGGAGAGGTGCCCGTCACACTGCAGGTGTTCAGGATCAGGCTGCCGTGCTCGGGCCTGGCGAGCGCCGAGATCCCGTTGGCGTTGAGGCTGAACGTCACCGCCCCGCCCGCCACCAAATACAACGACACCGTCCTCGTGTTCAAGAGGAACAAGATTTGCTTCAAAGGTGAGCGAGATACGCGAGTTTTTCGCACAGTGAAGGCATGTGTGGGGAGAAGGGGGGAGAGTGTTGCGATAACGATGATGGTTCCAAGAATTTCTCTCTCTCTTTATTTATATATTATATCCTTCGCGCTCCAACGGTGAGTCCACTCGAGAGGTGACTCGAAGGGCATAGCTCGCTTCGAACGGCGACGATGTTTGTTTACGTTTGGTTTTTTTGCGGATCTTTACGTATATAAGCTCTTTACGTGTACAATTCTCGCGAAGCGTGGAATAATATACCGTCGAACGTTTAAATTTTTTTTTTTTCTCTGAAATTAGAGGACCCTGGTCGAACTGGTTTTTATATATAAATAAGAAAATATTATTTTCAAAGTTTCTGAAAGTTTGTAAGCGTGGAAATATACGGTAATGAAATTAGTTTAGATAAAGGCGATAAAGTTTAATTTTTCGTTGTTGAATAATGAAATTGTATCTATTCGTTAAGAAATTGAAAAAAAAATAGGGATTGAATTTCGAAAGAAAAGGAAAGAATTTATTTGTCTGAAACGAAAATCTGTAAATTGGGCGGACAGCATTTTAACGCAGGATGGATAAATCGGCATTGCAGTCGCAAGTTTAATTGGCAGGTTTGGAGGAGGCCGATCGGTTGTTGAATGGTCGGTCCGCAATTTCGACGTATTCGCGATTAAAACACGGAGAGAGAGAGAGAGAGAGAGAGAGAGAGAGCGAGAGAGCGAGAGAGAGAGCGAGAGAGAGAGAGAGAGAGAGAGAGAGAGAGGAGG